AGGCATCGATTTGTGTCGAAATGTGTTTACTTTTTGGCGTTTCAATTGTTTTATGAGTTTTTGGGCTAATGTTTGGTAAAATAAAACTTTTATTTTCACATTTTATTACTGCATGAGACACACAAATGAGAGCCTTCGATCAACAATCTGACTTAATATTTTTGTGAATATATCTCAAATAGTACCAAATATACTGGGTACATATAGTACGTAAATAATATAAACACAAATAAGTTAAACAAAAGTTTATTGCATTTTTTCATCACAATCACAATCACTATTACACTCATTTTGATTATTATTAATTAATATTTCATTTAAAAAATTAGTTATATATATTTTTGATTCATTTGTAACATATTTAAGTAATGATAAAATATCAGATCTTTTTTTACCATTAATTCCAATATTTTTAACAATATAATCATCAGTAATATACAAAGATTTTATAATAGAAATGTCACAATTAATTGAATAAAATAATTTTTCATTTTTATTATTATAGTTATCACAAAATATAATTTCACTATTTGGATAATATTGAAATATAACTCCTTTGGATATTTTAATTTCAGTATTTTTAACAAAATGATTATTTAAAAATTTCTCATAATTATAAACTTTTGACTCTAAAACATTAAAATTTGACTCATTTAAATAATTAATATATTCATTAGGAGTTTCAATTATTTCAATATTTTTAACTCTTTTACCTAGTACTGAAAAATTTCTATCACATACACAAAATGAGTGTCCTTTTACTGGAAATATATGTTTAATTTTTAAATCAAATTTAATTGAAATAAATGACAAAAATTTAACAACACACCAGTTTCTATTTTGTGAGCAAGTAGCGTCAGAAAATATAATTAATTCTGACCCTGGTCCAATATGACCCTCAATATTTGAATATAATTTTTCAATAACTTTAAATAAATTACTACACACAGAGTTAGGATTTTTGGGTGATTTCCCTTCTAAACTATGGAACATATAAGAATCTATATTATAAATATGAATATTAAAAATATACATTGATAGTAATCTTTTATAATATTGTTCAGAATTAGGTATAATAGGGTAGTTTCTATTTGAAGAATAATCAAATTCTATACAAGTATATTTACTGTTATTTATGTAATTATTTTTTATTAATTTATAAGAATTTATTTTTGATTTATGTAAGTCCATATCTAATATTTCATTATTAGTTTTATTTTCAACTGGTATTTTAGAATAGCTAAAACAATAATCACAAACATCTGTTCTATTATGTCTAAATTTAATATTATAATTTGTATAAAAAAATTTACTAAATGTTGATAAAGCTAACGTTTGCCCTGAGCCTATACGTTCCTCATTAGTCAATTTAGTAATATAATTATTATATTCCCTATGAAGTAAAGTAATATTAATATCTCTATTTTCAAAATATAATTTTGTACTTTTAGTATAATGAGAATTAATTGTGGGAAATGAGTTTATAAAATTATTAAATATATCTGAATTAATTTTACAATTTAACCCCGTCTTTCTACCCCTCATATCACATAAATTATTGCCATTTATTGCTTTGGATTGTATAGTACTTAGTCTACTTTTACAAATTTGTAATAAATTTACTAAATATATCTTACAAACCGTATATTTTTTGTCACAATTATTCGATATTTTATATAACCATCGGTTTGACTTATCGTTATATAATTTCCTTTCCATTAAGCCCAACAAATACGCATTTTGAATATCGGTGTCCAATAGATTATAAAAACTGTAAACATAATAATTGTATCGGTCAGAAGTTTGCGTTAATTGAGTTGAAAATAGTTTTGGAGAAAGTGTTGCTTAACTATAGCTTTAAATCCCCTGCACAGTCCCCTAACTCACCCTCAAAACCGAGAGATCGTATCATTGAATACAATATTGTTGTCTCGATACATACCTTTCAAAACACAATCGTTGATATTCTTGTGTCATTAGATTGTAGCACTTCTTGTTACAACACTCGGTGACTAATTTGAAGGTTTTGTCAGCTTTTATGACACCATTTACAGTTTCATACGACTTTCCCTGTTAATAAAATAAAATAAATATTAATCATTTGATTTAATGTGATTTATATTTAATAATTACTTACAATGGTTCGTAATATCTTATTTTTATTTCTATTTAAAGCCAATGGATATTTTCTTTTTGAGTCGTCATTGGCTTTACTGTTCACTTGATTGTGAATTAATTCACATAAATCTTCACGATTTTGTATCTCATTTAGTTGTGAGATATTTGATATACTAAATGATTGGTTCATTTCTTTTGTGTATGGTTTGTGCGCTTCTGGTGTTGATGTGGTGTCCGGAATAGTCTTTGATGTCTCTTCTGTGGTGGGTTCGGTAGTAGAAGCAGTTTCCGTGATATCAGTGTTGAGAAAAATGTTATTGATATCTCAGATGATGTCTTTGATGAACAAATAATATCTTGTATTTAATTGAGATATTAAGCACTGATATACACGAATTGACATTTATTTACCACTATTAAATAGTGTTTAATAGTGTTTACCACAAATTTTGTTTATACTGAGCGCACAATACATGCGTATTGAGACTCAACTCACAAGTCTGTGATGTTTGTATAGCATAGCATTAGTTCCCTTTATATTTAAGCCTATTTAAAAATTAAGTCAGATTTTTGATCGAAGGCTCTCAAATAGATAGTCCATTCAATTAATATTCACTTTTCAAACAATATTGTGCAATTGTGCATGCATCAATTTCCAAATCGATTTCAATGACAAAAAATCTATAGATTTATAAAATAGAGGACAAGTTTCGCACACAATATGTAATACAGTATTAAATAATAGTCTTACAGTTTAACGTATGTCTGAAAAAAAGCATTTAATTAATTGTTTTTTTGGGTCAAACTAATTAGCAATTTATTCATTATTAATGTGAATATATTTGATAACGTAAACTCATTTGCAATCATACTTACAGTACTAGGTATTTGTTGCAGTTTTTTAATTTTAATATTCAATTCAAACTTAAAACTACAATTCATGATAAGATTTAATGAAATTTTAATAAATTAATATTATTAACAATAAAACAACTAATTTCATAGGAAATTTTGTGAAGTGTATCGTTTGTTGAATACAAATTACTATAATAATTAATTGGCAATAATCTACTTAAAGTGTTTTTATATGTAACTTTGTTACAACTTAAGTATTTTTGTTATAAAACTAAATACAGATAAAGAAATTAATTATTAAACGATAGTATATATTAAAGCTAAAAATATATTTACTTAAAGGCAACTAATAAATCGCTAAAAACTACTATAAATTGCTGTATAAATAGTATTCCCATTCGGAGTCCAATTATAAATGTAAGTTATTTTTTGCGATAATATTGTTTGAGACAATAAATTAATGACAATATTATCGTTACATCTAATGATAACGATATTGTAATACAATTAATCTCTCCTTTAAGTAAAAAAGTTTCCCAAGACTTCAAACTGACGGCTATTATTGTCAAGAATATCCATACGAATAGCACTTTCATCGGAAAATGACTGAATATATTGAGCAAAGTGTGTGTAAAACAAGTGATTTACAGAATAATGAGTTTGTATTACAATTGACGCTATTATATGACAAACCATTTGACAAGTTATATCTGTTTCTGAAGGAAAAAGGTGTTTGAATTGGGAGACACCGGGAAAGTGCTGCTCATTAAACAGGACAATAAATGAGTTTGTATTACAATTGACGCTATTATATGACAAACCATTTGACAAGTTATATCTGTTTCTGAAGGAAAAAGGTGTTTGAATTGGGAGACACCGGGAAAGTGCTGCTCATTAAACAGGACAATAAATTCAGTGCAATCGGACACAAGTGCAGCCATTACGGGGCACCCCTTGTCAACGGTATGCCATCTGACCATTCATTGATCATTCACGCAATCACTCATTTAGATGTATGGGTTGACCGTTAGGTGTGTTGTATGGCTCGCAGATATCGTGTCCGTGGCATTCGGCCACCTTCTGCATCAACACCGGCGACATCGAAGACTTTCCCGGCTGTGACAGCCTTCCCGTTCATGAGGTCTCTCTCGCGTAACCCAATCGTTGTCTGCAATCATTGATTACTCAAACAAAATGATTGCCAAATTAGGTGTCAGTGAAAGGCGATGAAGTGGTGGTGAGGGCCAAGAGGAGTGATTTGGCGAACAGCTTTCGGGTGAAGGCGTTAAGCGCTAAGAATCCCAATAATGTGCTCACGTTTGTGATCGTCGGCGGAGGTTTGCATCCAATTAGACATTATCTGACTGAAGGAGACTAATGCCTGTAATGACGCGAACGACAGGACCGGCGGGTTTTCAATGCGCCGAAACCCTAAGACACGAGGGATTCACGGGTCGGGTAGTGCTCGTCACCAGTGAGGACACCTATCCGTACGACAGAACCAAATTGAGTAAAGTATGCAAATTATTGACCATTTCTTGAAAACACTTCTAAATTAATGAATGGTTTGTTTGGAAAGGCTTTGAGCACTAAAGTGGAAGAACTTCTTCTGCGGTCTAAAGACTACTTAAACGACGCCAACATTGAGGTGATTCTCAACGCAACCGTCGATAAGATTAACACAAAAGAGAAATCAATTCAACTGAACAACGGATCGACGCTGAAGTTCGACCGCATCTTCTTGGGAACCGGTGTCAGACCTAAAGTATACGAAGCGAAAGGCAATGACTTGAAGAATATCTGTTATCTGCGGACACACAGAGACGCGAACTTTATCGCAGACAATGCCGTCAATAAAGATGTCGTGATAATCGGCACTTCATTTATCGGTAAATTTATGGCAATTTTGATGAATAATTTATTTCATAAAACCTAATGAATGGACGCATAGGTATGGAAGTGACGGCATTCCTCAACGGAAAGGCAAAGTCTCTGACAGTGATCGGCAAAAGTAAATATCCATTCGCTTACACATTGGGCCCACAAATTGGTCAACAGATCAAAGAAGTGAGACTTAGCGTCAAATTTTGTCGATATTATCGATATTTTATCGCTTTTTTCATTTGAAAAGCTCTACGAATCGAAAGGAATAAAGTTTTACACCGAGTGTGGAGTCAAAGAGTTTTGCGGCGATGATAATCAGCAACTCAAACAAGTGGTTCTCACAAATGGCGATGTCTTGAGCGCAGACATTTGTGTCATTGGAATTGGTATTTAACACTTAAATGTCAATATCGATGATACTTACGGTTAACATTGCAATCCTCTTGAGGCGGCGAACCGAACACCGAGTTCCTGAAGGGGACGGACATCAAAATGGATAAGTCCTACGTTTTGGTCGACAAGAACTTCGAGACATCCGAGAAGAATGTGTTCGCCGGCGGAGATGTGGTTAAGTACGAGCTCTCTATTGTCAACCAAAGTGTGGTAAACGTGGGCCACTGGCAGACGGCTCAGTCGCACGGTATAAGACATTTGAAAAACTAAATTAATCCTAAATAACACGGATTACTGTAATCACTAAAACAAACCCCGCATTGAATGGCACGACAGGCAGGAGTGCGGCGCTAAGTATGTTAGGAAAGACATCCGACTTAAAGTCGGTCCCATTTTTCTGGTCAATGCTCTTCGGGAAAGGACTTCGTTTCGCAGGTTTTTAAATGTTTTACACTTTCCGTGCGTTAAGTCCATTGAAACAAACATATGATTTCGTGTCGATTTATAGGTAATAACGAGGGCTTCAAGGAAGTGATAATCGACGGCGAAGTCTCGCAATTCAAATTCGTGGCCTATTATGTGGATTCGGCCGACAAAGTGGTAGCCGTGGCCACGATGGCCAACGACCCCATCGCCACGATGTTCGCCGCTTACCTCAGACACGGACACACTCTCACCGCTAATGATATCAAGTCTGATCCCAAGAAGTGGATCGAGTCCATGAAGAAATAACAAAATTAAATGCTTTTTTGTTTGTCTATGACTTCATTTATACTTAAATATCATCTAATTTTACACAAAAATGTTACAAATGTTTCGTGAATTAAACACAAATATCTATGACTCGTATCCAATGGCCTCTTAGTCCTCCTCATCGAAAGATCGCGTTAAGTCCAGTCTCTCGAGGAAGTCGGCGGCGAAGTACTGTTTGAGTGGTTCCTCAAGAGGTTGCCGGAGGAAGTCATCCCAATATTGGGGTCGAGTCCGGCCGACGGACTTCAGGTACGCCTCCTCTTGTTCCTGACCACAGACCAGACAATCAATGGATCAGTTAAAGTGATAATTAGTAGACAATTGTCTCGCGTTATGCATTACTTGAGTGATGTATGGTTTGGACAGGTATTTCATGACCTGCTCCTCGTGTTTCAGTTTCGTATAGAGGGATAACTTCTTACCGGTGGTCACTTTGGGCACATACCGGTGCTTTCTGGACATACAGGCAAACAGACCAAACAGACCATGGTCATTACAGTGAGACAATCATGTGATTTACGGTCAAATGAGGATTCATACCCTTTCTCGACATTACCCCTAAATTTGGGGACATATCCCACAAACTCCGGCCTAAATGAGCGCAATATATGTGTGAATCTCATCGCTAGTCAAACCATTCACTCAATGATTGGATTTTAAATTAAATTTAAATTACTTTTTAATCATATTTTTGACGGCATTTCACACATTGTTTACGATTGAGAGTCACATTGAATGACACAAATGATGTCCATTTAGTGGATATTTTAGTTTTGTTACATAAACCAACTAGCTCATTAGTTTACTTTAAATAGTGTACTGGATACAATTAAGCATGCAACTTAAATATGATTAAAATGTGTGTAAACTTTATAAAACGAGTCAATTACGAGATATTGATTACAATAATGTGTTTATAATTGTAGTCAATATTTGTGTCATTTTTGGCGCAAATATTCATTCAAACGACTGATTGAATGAAAACAAACCAAACGTTTGATTAATTGTGCCATAAATCGGATCCAATCGGTGATCATAAAACGAAATGAAGTGCAAAATCGTCGGACAGAATCTGAAGGGTATGTCCAAGAGGTTGCCATAAGACATGATAATGACGTTCACGTGTTTGATAGCCTTCTCCAAAGCGATTCGTGTCTTCGCGAAGATCTCCTCCGAAGTGCTCATTAATGTCGACAATCGCTCGGTTTGTATTGCCATTCATTGTCACCAATTGATGGCAACTCACACCCCATTTGATCCGCTCATAACAGATGAAACTGCAGGCCATTAATGACAACAAAACGGCTTTCGTTGACATTAAGTTTGACTCAAACTTCTTCGCGTCGTTTGAATGCACTGTCGATACGAAATGCAAACTATTCCTCAAAGTATTCATTAGATTTGCCATTATTTCCAATCCATGGATTAATTCATTGATTGCCTTTTGTCACGTGATTTAGTCACTGATTCTGGTGTTTCGTGTCGTCAATATCGACAAAGTTGTGGACAACTGTACGGTTATTATGGATGAGTCGATGCCGAGAGTGGTCTTCGAGATGAAGTGCTTGAATGGTATGATCAGAGTCTGAATCCATTGATATGTAGAGGTAATTATGAGCGCAATATGTGTTTAATAGGCATAAGCCGTGAATACTTCGTGCCGTACATGGAGTCCACGAATTTGCACTACAATTCAACCGTCACTGCAGTGAACCCTTCATTCAAAGTGCAGTCAAAGTATTACTGTATTTACGAGTTGTCTATAGATTTAAGTTAATTATGATCTCATATATGATTTAGAGTACTGTATGAGTGTTTACACAACTTCTCCACCGAAACCAGAGATGTAAGCCTTTGGTTGACACCACAAGAGATTCAGTTTAAGAGCTATTTCGATGACATCGAGGAACAAAGTTTGAACATTTTTTGTCTTAAATTTAATGTACAGATTATTGACATTTTAAATGCATTTAAATTAGATATTATGACATCATTCGCATACGGCTCCCGATATTTTCACAACTATTGCGTGAATAATGATATTCACGTCACATTTGACGTTAAAGATCTTAAGGTTAGACATGATATCGCCTCAAACACCAGTTCCTTTAACACCGTTTTTACAGACATTTCTAGATTTCACTATATTTCGCAACCAACCCCTCGACTGTTACTTTCAGGCGTCGGGAAGGTTAGCATTATTTTACAATTGATTACTGTTTGGGAACTAATAATGAATGCATTGCTTCTGAAGTCCCATTGAATTCAGAATGACATCCAGTGATCACTATTCAGCGACACTCATATTAGCCACACATGACTTTCCCGACGACTTACTGCCAGAGCCCCCGTCGCTCAACCGCCGCACCGTCTCATCGAACCGTAGTTTAAGTCTATTGAGGTATAGAATCGCTCTTTGAATGGATTATAAATTAATTGAAACATGTATTCAATACACAGAACCGGGAGTTTGACTGAAGTGCCCGTAAATCACACGCCTTCTCATAATACAAGTCCTGCGAATCCAAACCCTATTGGCCACACAAATACCGGCACCACTAATACCAGTGCGGGCCCTGTATCGATGGAACTACAGACAAACGCAAACACTGACGACTTCGGAGAGGACTTTGATGACGACGAGGATGGCAACCATTTGTTTGACCAAATTATAGGACAATTGAACGCCACATTGGATCAGGACTACGGTGATGGCGATGGCACTCAGGCGTCCACTAATTTACGATTCACTGGCACTCAACTCGATCGGGTATTTGAATCGGTCGATGATAGTTGAATAGAAAATTGATTTTTTGTTATCACGAATGTGTAGTATCACGAGGCCATCATCTATGGTAGCCCTGATGACGATGACGAATATCAAGATATGGGCTATACTGAGGACATAGTGGTTCCAGAATCGGAACCAGAAGACACCGATTAATGTGCTCTGAATTAAGAAATTTCTACACTATTTTAAATAATTTATTTGTTTAAGAGTTAATTATTTTTTGTAAAGTTTGTAAAAAAGAATATTTTTAATTAAGGGATCAATAAAGAACTGGTCGGTTATTACAGGTGCAGCTCAGGTCATGCAATGTCCACTTTTGTCGCAAATAATTGTTACAATTTTTAGAAATCACTGCTATATCGCTATCCCTGATAACCAAACGGAAGTGAATTATTAAAAAAAGTGATTATAAAATCTAATATGTTTGAAACAATATTAAATTCATACCTATTATTTAGCATACATACACCTTTATTGCTGTAAATGTAAATTTAATTAATTTATCAATTGTCTATAAATGAATAAATGTATTTAGTCAATACCTGTAATCAATAGATCGGCAAACAGGGTATTTAGAAGCGCATACATTAAAACATGCACTCAATGTAACCGATTCACTAAAAGTAGATATCATATTAAATATTGAGTTCAATATAGAGATCTAGTTATTGTTTATACCGATAGTAATCACTGGGAGTCTCAGATATATGAGAGCCCCAAATGCACGCATTGGGTATTGAATTGAAATTATCTGAAATGATAAATTATTAACTGGTAAGTAGTTTGTGACAAAAATACATTTGTCGGGCAGAGCTTACGTGCTTCGCATCGATCGCCACAATAACCACATTTGCAAAGACAATGAAATCCAATTAGTTTTCCTCTTTGGAAGATATCCGCACATTCGCCACCATTTAGACACGGATGAGCCGCACAGCCCTTCAGATCTTTTGACTCAATGATCTTATTTATAAATGTTATGCAAAATAAGTTTCTTAAACTGATGGACACAAAGTTAGCATTCAATATAAGCAGTATCGCACCTCAACCGAGTTATGACAGGTAGTGGTATTGCAAATGATCTCATGATAAGTCCACTCCTGTTCCATAATATCGCTCCTATATGAGGGACATTGAGTGGCCGGTGCGATGCGATCCGTTGTGGAGTCCGTCCAGTGAAGAACACAGGTGCCCGACGTTCCGCTATAACTCACAGATTTGCAGTCTTTCTCATTGAGACACATATCCAGACAATCGCCGTGATTCTCGGACACCGACCAAACCAATACACTTCCTTTCAGACAACCATTTTTATAAGTCTTCATATTTACTAAAATTTAATTTTACGATAAAATTACAATTCACAGACCAAGCTAATATTCTATAGAAAAACTATACATTTATCGCAATGTTTGCCGCAGTAATTGCACGGACACTATATACAGAATATTCAACAGAAGCACAGAATTACGATATTATTTGATAGTATTTAATATGTGCGCAAACCTGACAGCCGTATGTGAATGACTGTTGAGGCGGGGGGTTCTGTATGGGCTCACAGAAGCCTCCATTCTTGCAAATTCCGGGTACGTTAGCGCAGGTATCCTCGTTTGGCGAGGGCTTCGGCTTTTCGTACGGGCACTCAGAGTCCTCGACAATCTCATAATAATCCCAAATCTCATTGTTTTTATTATCGCAACCAATCAACAATTGCGAGTCATTTCTGGTCACATAATTAATAAGACAAGAGCCCATATTTCCTGCCAATTTGTATCATAATTATACAATTATTATTCATAAGCGTTATACAGTATGTATTATGTTTTTAAAAACTTTTTTCATACCGAAATCTACACTTTTGCAGTCGGGGTTAGCCAGACAAAACTCGAGACAACTTTCCAGACTAGGACTCTCGTAGTGTCCGAAATAATATTTCCCGAGACATGAATTCGGCAGATGTATGTAATTGACTGGCAAAACATAATTTGTATTAATAAGCGATTGATTCTGAGCTAGGCTAGAATTTTGGTTATTTGTTTCCTAATAGTAATTTTACATTCACGACAATTACAAATTCTTATTACTGTAAAACATTATCCTGTGTTTTGCAAAATAATTTGTAATTAACTTTATAAACTTATTATTGGGACACAAATTGCCATAAATTCTGATCGCAAGTAAAAGATATATATGATCGCACATACAGTCCTTGCATTTGGGCCCACATTTGCCTCTTTTGCACTGTTTTCTGGGCCGAACACAATTGGGGTCTTCTATGCACTCGATCTCGTCGTATATGAATGTCAGGTGGGATGGCGTGCACTCGAACTTCTCATCTGCGGTCAACTTTTCATCGTATATATAACACGTGCCCGCGATGTCGGACACCGTCTTGAGTTTCGACGGATTCACAATCGAGTGGCGACTCATCTCCTCCTCCTCATCATCGCTGTCACCATCGCTGTCACCACCGAATCGGTTCCGATGTCTACTCCTTTTCATATCACTTCCGTATTGATTATAATATTCCAGAAGACTGTCGGGTTTTTTGACGGCAACCCAGTTCTCATAGTTTACGACACGATTGAAGAGATTTTTGAGGTCCAAAGTGGTGACACTCCTGGGCTTAACGAAAGTGGCGGACTCGCAGTTGACGCTAGACTTGCATTTCCCCTGACACTCGTCGCGTGTTTTAGCCTTTGGTGTCGATTTGTATTTCTGTACAATGCAGTGATTCTGATACTTTCTGATTGTATCTGGACACATTCGCCAATGTTAGAAAATAAATATTTAAAAATTAAAATTATAGTTAAAACATTTCGCGATAGAGTTTAACAAAACATAATTATATAAATAAAGTAAAGTTACTTTTGTGGCAAATCTTTTTGCATTCACTTCCACCACCGCTCTCACCGCCGCTATCCCTGCTTTCAGTACTTTCAGTATTAGCTGGATCACTATTAGTCACAGAATTCCCTGCGGTTGTCAGTTCTGTATCATCAGAATCTGGGGTAGATTCCGCGGTTGCAGTGGTTTTACCCCCCTGTTTGCCAGTTGGAGGACCATGGGTTGTGCCACGAGTTGTGCCACGAGTTGTACCACTGTTTGGTTCAAGTGGTTGGTCTGATGTGGCCGGTTCAAGAGGCTGGTCCGGTGGTGGTTTGGGTAGGCCCGCATCGTCCGGGTCATTGGCTTCTGCTTTAAGAATCGCTTCCGTTTCCTCCTCTTCAGCTTCAGTGGTCCCCACAGCTGCTGCTTTGAGAATCCTATCGGTCTGCACCTTTTCGGTGGTCACCACAGCTTCTGCTCTAAGAATCGCTTCCGTCTGCACCTCTTCGGTGGTCACCACAGCTTCTGCTCTAAGAATTGCTTCCGTCTGCACCTCTTCGGTGGTCACCACAGCTTCTGCCTTAAGAATCGCTTCCGTCTGCACCTCTTGTGTGGTTACCACAGCTTCTGCTTTAAGAATAGCTTCCGTCTGATCCTCTTCGGTGGTTACCACGGCTTCTGCTTTAAAAATCGCTTCCGTCTAAAAACAAATAATTATTTTTATAAATGCCTTTCATATGAATGTCTTGTCTTATGTAAAATTCTCAATATTTGTAATTTAAACTCCAGCGTAAAGGTAATCAATTATAAGCCGGGCATTAAATTACACGCTAAACAAATACCTGTTGTGTTATTTGCTCCTGGCACACTATTAAATAATAATCACAAAATAATGACAGACTAACGAATATAAATGCCTTAAAATACATTGAACTTTGTTTTTAAACACACTTCTGATGAGAAAGCCTTATATTATCACTTTTTTCGACATTTAATTCTGTGATGAGATCACAGATTGAAAGGATTGGGTTTCCATTCATTCAGTGGTTATAAATACGAGTGAATGCATCAAAACATTCAATCATTTCTCAAACTTTCAAACAAATCACTATAACTTATAATTTATACGGTTTTCTAACAGTAATTCAATTGTTTCTAAAACTTTTATAAACTTCTAACTGTTTTCTATGATATCCAGTTCATAAACTATCCATTCATTGAATGTGAATACAAGCGAAGGGATCAGTGATGCGGTGATAAATTATCTCACACTTTGGCATCACTTCCAACCCATTCACTCACTAAAGAGTTTTATCTCCAAAATAATTACTTTTTCGGTTCCTTTCGTTCATTTATTTTATAAGACAATCAAAAGTTACAAAAAAGAAAGTCTGAGAGAGAGAGAGAGAGAGATAGAGGAAAACTAATTGGATTTCATTGTCTTTGCAAATGTGGTTATTGTGGCGATCGATGCGAAGCACGTAAGCTCTGCCCGACAAATGTATTTTTGTCACAAACTACTTACCAGTTAATAATTTATCGTTTCAGATAATTTCAATTCAATATCCGATGCGTGCATTTGGGGCTCTCATATATCTGAGACTCCCAGTGATTACTATCGGTATAAACAATAACTAGATCTCTATAATGAACTCAATATTTAATATGATATCAACTGTACTTTTAGTGAATCGGTTACATTGAGTGCATGTTTTAATGTATGCGCTTCTAAATACCCTGTTTGCCGATCTGTTGATTTCAGGTTAATATACATACATTTATTCATTTATAGACAATTGATAAATTAATTAAATTTACATTTACAGCAATAAAGGTGTATGTATGCTAAATAATAGGTATGAATTTAATATTGTTTCAAACATACTAGATTTTATAATCACTTTTTTACTAATTCACTTCCGTTTGGTTATCAGGGATAGCGATATAGCAGTGATTTCTAAAAATTGTAACAATTATTTGCGACAAAAGTGGACATTGCATGACCTGAGCTGCACCTGTAATAACCGACCAGTTCT